TTATTCTATTCTATTCCATATTTCTCTTCTCTTCTATTTTATTCTATTCTATTCCATATTTCTATTCTATTCCATTCTGTTCTATTCTATTCTATTCTATTCTATTCTATTCTATTCTATTCTATTCTATTCTATTCTATTCTATTCTATATTCTATTAATATTCTACTCCATCCCATTCCATAGTTCAGTCCTGAGCTACAAATATTTTCCTTATCAGTGTTGCTATTTGCATATTTTTTGGAGTGATTTCTTTTCCCTGGCCTTCTTGGGAAATCCCATGGCTGATTCCAAGAACTTAACGCAAGCTTGGAATTAGCGAAGGAATTCCCCAGTCATTTTTTTCCAGGCAAGTCAAGTAAAAAACAAACAAAAAACCTGCAATATAGGTAGTCCTTAACCTACAACAGTTCATTTGGGGACTGTCTGAAGTTATGGGGACACTGGAAAAAGGGACTTAAGACCATTTTTCACACTTACGACCCCTGACGCATCCATGTGGTCATGTGATCAAAATTCAGGTGCTTGGCAAGTTTGGCAACCGGTTCATACTTATGACAGTCACTGTGTCCTGGGGTCACGTGATCCCCTTGTGAGACCCTTCCGACAAGCAAAGTCCATGGGGAAGCCCGATTCACTTAACGACCGTGTTGCTAATTTTAAGAACTGCAGTGTTTCACATAACAAATGTGGCGAGAAAAGTCGTAAAATGGGGCAAAACTCCCTTAACAAATTTCTCACTTAGCCACATGCATTTTGGGGTTCCATTATGGCCATAAATGGAGGACTATCTATAGAATAAATGTAGGTAAATAAATACGAGGACTACCTGTAAAATAAATAAATATTCTATAATCCTATACAACAAAGTTGTTGATGCTTCAATGAGCCACAGAAATCTCTAGGGAGCAGATCGACTTATAACAATTCATTTAGCGACTGCTTGAAGTAGCAACAGCACTGAAAAATGGTGACTTATGACCGTTTTTCACACTTACGACCAGCATCCCCATAGTCACGGGATCGAAATTCGGGCTTCTTAGCAACTGACTCGTATTTATGACGGTTGCAGTGTCTTGGGGGGGGGGGTCACGTGATTGCCATTTTGTAACCATCCCAGCTGGCTTCCGACAAGCCAAGAAATCAGATTTACTTAAGGACCTCATGGTTCATTTAGCAACTGCAGCGACTCCCTTAAGAGCTGACGTAAAACGGGACAAAACTCACTTAACAACTTCCTTTCTTGGCAACGGAAATTTTGGGCTCAGCTTTGGCCATAAGTCAAGGACTGCCAGGAAGATTTCAAAATATAAAATGATTTTTGTGTGTGTGATGACTTCAAGCCATCTTTGCTGCCATTCAGCTATGATCTAATCCTAATTAACCCTAATTAAAATATAATTATATATATTTTCCAGGATCACCATGATATGCTGTTAGAAATTGAACGGGACAAAGCCATTACTGACAAAGTTATCCTTATTCAGAAAGTAGTTCGCGGATTTAAAGACAGGTGGGTACCTGGGCTAATATTTCTTGGCGTGAAATGTAACCTGGGAATTATTAATTGTGATCTTGGTGGCTTTTGGTGTTGTGTTCCCAAGGAAATCTTGCAAGATTTCTCTCCTCCTATGGGTCATGGATAAGTTAAACATGATTTTAGAAATTGGCAGAGCTATTGACCCTGAAATTTTATTCAGGTGAGCCCCAGATGTTGGAAATGTAAACACCAACATGGTTCATACTTTCATATGTGGTGGACTTGCCCGGAAGGGAGGAAATATTGGAATAAAATAAGAACCTGGTCGCAAGAAATAATTGGCCTTCAAATTCAATTTAAACCGGAGAGGTTTCTGTTAGGGATAATGAGAGGAACATTCGCAAATGAAATTAACTATATTATAATACATATATACTGACAGCAGCAAGAATAACATACGGTCAGAATTGGGAATTAGATAGCGTACCTTCTGAAAATGCAATTATTAAGAAATAATGGACTGCGCGGAAATGGTTAAATTAACTTATGAACTGCAATACAATACAATACAATACAATACAATACAATACAATACAATACAATACAATACAATACAATAGCAGTTAGAAG